TATTTACATCACGTTTCCCTACGCAGGAGTTAAGATACAGTCACTGGAGTCTTCCTCTGAGCAGAGATGAAGCTCTATGGAACACATGTTAGGTTTCCTATTACTGGGTGCTGGTGTTACCCCCGTGCACAGGGAGAATAACTGAGGCTCCAACACTTAACTCGCCCAAACATGCAGGTCCAATATGCCTGTCAGGAAGTGGGCCTGCCAGTTTGGACAGAACCAAATTTCTACATCCACAGCCACACTCCTTTGGACCTGATTTCTCTATTGTAAGTCTGAATCAAAAGAAACAAGATTTTAATTTTTTTTAAGCCACAAAACTCAAATGAGAAAGAGACGGATTCTCCTAGAGCTGAGTAACAAGATCTCATAAGGTGAGGCCTCCTGGTAGATGGCCACCCTGCCACTTCTGCAGGAGGAAGGCAAAACCTCTCCGCACGGCCCCGAGCCATGTGAGTGCCTGACCTTCCTAGGGCGGCTCCCTGCCATGCAGCAACCTGCCCCTGCTGTCTGGAAGAGGGAGCTCAGCTGGCGGGGCAGCTGACGACCTGGGGCCAGCCTCGCCTCTCTCCTGCTGCCCCGCTGTCCCCTTTCCCAGCCCCTCGGGCCAGCCACGCTAGTCTGCCCTGCCAACAATGCCCTGCCCTCTCCTCCCTCTGCTCATCTGCCCTCACCATTCTCCCTCCACAGAAACCCTTTCTCCAGCTCTCCAGGGCCTTTAAGACCACTACCGGAGCTCACCTTCTCCCTGGGACCTCCACATACTCACTTTCCCTGCCTTTTGGCAATGAAACACGCAATGCCTTGTAAAAGCTCTTCTACTCTTGTCTAACTGAAGGTGAGTTTTCTTTTTCTAGAGGGTATGAGGAAAGGAGGATCTTTTTATTATTATTATTTTTAAAGCAATTAAAAGCACATCACAGAAAATAGAGAAAAACTGGGAAAAAGGAAACATAACTCTAGCACGTTGATATAACCGTAATTCCTCCCAGTCCTTTTCTTTGTAAACACAGCTATAATTGTTCGTAACTGTGGCCTACCTAGACCTTGTTTCCTAACTTCGCTTTGTTCTACGTCATTTTCCTCCACTGCTGACACCTCTCTGAGGGTAGAGGCCGAGAATCTGGCTTAGACTGTCCTTGCTTGTCCCCTCATAGCACCCAGCACGAGGCCCAGCACCCACTGGGCAATTAAAAATTATTGTTGATTTTCTTGTCTCTGTACTAGCACAGAAAGTAATCAATTTGATTTTTAAAATTTCACCCTATTCTTACAGTTATTTTAACAAATAATAAAAATATCATACAGTTGTATGAATTACAGAAAATAAAGAAATATAAACAAATAATTGTTATTTACCTATAAAGTCTCCTTTAGTCATTTTTTCATATAATTTGGCTTTTTCTTCCAACTTTTCCCTAGGAAAAAAAAGACAAGTATTAGAAATGGTCTTACAGGCTCACTCCTGGCAAGGCTGCCCCACTCTTGGCCTGACTGCACCCATCTGCCCAAGAAGTCCAGCCCAATGAGGTGACCATAACTAGAGCTGACTACCCCGTCCTGCAGGGACCCTCAGACCCAGTCACAGCTGATTTGCCAACTAAATGTAAGCCCCATGAGAGCACGGCCTACATTTCTCATTCATGACTGTATCCCAGTACCTAAAAAACACCTGGCACATAGTAGGTGCTCAATCAGCATTTGATGAATGAGTAAATGAGTGAATGAAGATTCCAACTTAATTTAAATGCCAAATGCAACTTAAATATCAAAAAAAGAGAAAGATGTCTAAACAAAAATATTTTCTATTTGTAACCTTCCAAATGGATCAACGCAAACTCTTTGCATTACTGTTTTTACACAAAGGTCCCTCGTCATCCACTCCTTATTCTCTAAGGGAGCTAGAGACCAACTTCCTATAAGTCTGTTAAAAATATAAGGTCTGTTTTATACAGAGCATGAATAATTTACTCATACACATAGCTAATAAAAAACAAACGTCAACCCTGGTATTTTAATACAGCAGCCTCTCTGCTCACATTCATTCTGGTGACATTTATTTTTTAGTGGCCAGAGACCAGGTAAGACGGCGGACAATTCTTTATTCTAGAAATACTTAATGATGGTAAAGAGCCCCAAAGAGGTCATCTGAGCTTTTGCTGTGAAGGATCACACTTAATCATAAGGGAAAATTTCATTTCTAATGGTGTCCTGAGGCAATCAAGTCCCCTGGTCACATGGCTGTTTGCTCTGGAACAAGTTATTTAACCTCTCGTGTGCCTCAATTCCCAAATCATAATAGATGAAGAAGACAGCACTGCCTCTTAGGGTTGTCATGAAGATTAATCAGATAACACATGTAAAGCATGACATCAGTTATGTCATCTTCATCTTTATCATCTATGTCAGAAAGAGTCCTCTTTAATTTCACACATTCATTCAACAAGTTCATGCCTCCTCTGTGCCAAGCACTGTTTTAGGTGCTGAGGACTCAGTGGTGAACAAGACAAAAGTCCCAGGTCTCAAGGGGTTTACATACTAGAGGGGCAGAATGATAATGAAGAAATCAATGAAAAAGAGGATTTCAGACAGTGAGAAGTGCTCTAAAGGGAAGGAAATCAAAGCAGGTTTCGCCAGTGGAGGCCCTGTCATGCATTCATGGAGTGCTCTGTGGACCAGCTTAGTCATTTCAACTTCTAAGAGGTCAAGTTGCTCTACTTCGGAGGGGGCTTAATGTAACAACCTGTGTCATCATGGAATCTTATTGTCTTAGGGAAAATAAAAGTTCAAAACACTTAAAAAACAAAACACACAAAAAAGCAGACATGAGGACACAGTACCTGGGTGGGATGCTAAGTAAGGTGGGGTAGTCAGGGGAAACCTCTTACGATGTTTGAGCTGAGGCCTGCACAGCAAGGAGAAATCGACCCTGGGAGGATCTGGAGGGAGAGAGCAAGTCGAGCAGAGGAAAGCTGAAGTGGGAATGAGCTTGACATGTTCAAGGAGAGAGCAGCATGGCAAAGGGTAGGAGCCAAGGAGAGAGTGGTACAAAGTAAAGACAGAGACAGGCAGGGACAAGAGCTCACGGGAAAGCACAAGAAGTCTGGAGGCAGTGGGACACAAAGAGGGCAGTTTCAAGACGGCAGGAAGAGTCTACAAATGAATAGAGATCAAGGAAGATGTCAGAGAAATGGCCACTGAATTCAGTAGATGAGGAAGTCATTGGGGACTTGGAAGAATAATTTTCTTCAGTTGAGCAAGGAAGACGAAATTCAGAGGGCAAGAGTAGGAGACACTTATCTGGAACCCACTACATGTCAGACACTACGTATCGCCTTTAATCCCTAAAGGGCTTCATGAGCTGGGTATTAACCACCTCATTTCACAGATAAGGAAAGAGGCTTAATGGATACATAAATTGCCAAAGGCCGTATATCCTCCTGGAACTGCCTCTGCCTGTTTTGAGCTCAGGAGAGACGCAGAGGTCCCACAGGTCACGGACAGACTTGACAGCTCACAGGTACATGAAACCAAAGTATTACAGAAAAAGTTACCAGACAGAAGAATCACAGTAAAACACCAAGGAAAACTCTGTTATACAGAGCAAATAAGAAAAGATTATGCCCACAGCTAACATCACACTACGTGAAAAGCTGAAAGCTTGTCCTCTAAGATGAGGAACAAGACAAGGATGCTCACTCTTGCCACTTTTATTCAACATGCTATTGGAGGTCCTAGCCAGAGCAATTAGGCAAAAAAAGAAATAAAAGGCATCCAAATTGGAAAAGAAGAAGTAAAACTGTCTCCACTTGCAGATGACATGATATCATATATAAAAACCCCAAAGACTCCACCAAGAAACTCTTAGAACTAACAAATTCAGTAAAATTGCAGGACACAAAAATCAATACACAAAAATCTGTTAGGTTTGTATACACCAATAATGAACTATCAGAACAGACACAGATCAATGGAACAGAACCAAGAGCCCAGAAAATAAACCCACACATCTATGGACAGCTAATTTTCAACAAGGGAGCCAAGAACATACAATGGAGAAAGGACAGTCTCTTCAGTAAACAGTGTTGGGAAAACTGGACAGCCACATGAAAAAGAATGAAAGTAGACCATTATCTTACACCATTACCATACACAAAAATTAACTCAAAATGGATTAAAGATTTGAATATAAGACATGAAACCATAAAACTTCTAGAAGAAAACACAGGCAGTATGCTATCAGATATTGGTCTTGGCAGAATAGTTTCAAGTACCATGTCAGACCAGGCAAGGGAAATAATAGAAAAAAGAAACAAATGGGACTACATCAAACTAAAAATCTTCTGCATAGCAAAAGAAACCATCAACAAAAACAAAAAGACAACCTAACAATTGGGAGAAGATATTTGCAAACCATATATCTGATAAGGGGTTAATATCCAAAATATATAAAGAACTCATGGGCCGGCCCCGTGGCTTAGTGGTTAAGTGTGCGCGCCCTGCTCAACATCATTGATCATTAGGGAAATGCACATCAAAACCACAATGAGAGATCACCTCACACCTGTGAGAATGGCTATTATCAAAAAGACAAAAAATAACAAGTGTTGGTGAGGATGTGGAGAAAAGGGAACCTTTGTGCACTGTTGGTAGGAATGTAAATTGGTGCAGCCACGATGGAAAACAGTATGGAGGTTCCTCAAAATATTAAAAATAGAACCACCATATGATCCAGCAACTCCACTTCTGGGTATTTATCCAAAGGAAATGAAATCATTAACTCGAAAAGATATATGCATCCCTATGTTCACTGCAGCATTATTTGCAATAGCCAAGATACGAAAACAACCTAACTGTCCACTGATGGATGAAAAAACTATGGTGTGTACAGCCACACACACCCACACAGGAATACTATTCAGCCATAAAAAAAAAGGAAATCTTGCTTTTTACAACAACATGGACAGACTTTGAGGGCGTCACGCTAAGTGAAATACGTCAGAGAAAGACAAATACTGCACGATCTCACTTATATGTGGAATCTAAAAAAAACCAATAACCAAAAAACCCCAAGTTCATAGATACATAAAACAAATTGGTGGTTGTCAGAGTGGGGGGTGGGGTGAAACACGTGAAGGGAGTTAAAGGGTCCCAACTTCCAGTTCTAAAATAAATAAGCCATGAGGATGTAATGTACAACATGGTGACTATGGTTAATAATACTATACTGTATATTTGAAAGTTGCTAAAAAATCTTAAAAGTTCTCATCACAGGAAAAAATAATTCTATAGCTACGTATGGTAATGGGTGCTAACTAGACTTACTGTGGTGATCATTTTGCAATATATACAAATATCGAATCATCATATTGTACACCTGGAACTAATGTTATATGTCAATTATATCTCAAGGAAAAACATATATAATTAAAAAAAAGATTATGTTACCTTTCAAAAAAATTAAAATTCTGAGACTATGTCCAGTAGTGAGAAAGATGTCTCAAAATGAACATATCTTTAAGTAAAGTCTCATGTCTGCTGGGGACACGTCAAACGCTAAGAAAAACAATCCCCTAAATGGGCTAACATTCTGTCTTTTTTATTTTCAGACCTAAAAGAGCTGAGTAGCCTCGGCAACCACTCTTTGCCACCGCAGAGTTTTATCGTGCAGTGGATCCACAAGCACACGTGGCAGTCAGGACAGACATTAAGACTTGGGATTCTGAGTCCAGGGTGATACTGCAAATAAGGGAGGAGCTCTTCTTTACAGCATGCCAGCTAACAAACGGAATGAAAAAATAATAAAGACTAAACGACAGAATTAGAAAAATCATCATTCTGAAATCGTCGATGTAATAACCGATGAGCGGCAAGACTCATCAGTGACGACAAAATGCTGCATGGAAATGTGTTGGTGAATGGGATATTCACACAGTCTCATAGTTTCCCTCCTCAGATTACTATTAATTACAAATGGGGAAGAGCACCTTACAGTGGAAAAGTCTAGCAGACCGACCTTAACCCCAAGGGATCAAACTTATCATCACCAATAATGACTCGAACTGACATTATGCACCTCCTGACGAGATTCAACGGGAAGGACACATCATCACCTATGTATTCTCATCATAACCAGTTAATGTGACTCGAATCAGACTGTGGAACACTGTAGAAACAACCGGCCTGGACTCTTCAGAAACATCAATGGTGTAACAGACAACAAAAAGGTAAAGGAATTGTTCTAGATTAAAAGAAACTAAAGAGATATGACAACTAAGTGCAACGCGTAATCTTTGATTAAATTCTGGATTAAATTTTAAAAAACAACTATAAAAGATATAATTGTACTAGGATAACTGATGAAATCTGAATATGGACCATATAATAGATAATACCATTTTATCAGTGTTAAATTTGTTGAGTATGACAGCACTAGTGTGGTTATGCAGGAGAATGTCTTTGCTCTTAGAAGATCTACCCTGAAATATTTACAAGTAAAGTATCACGTTTAACAAAGTTTCTCTATACACACACGAGAGAAAGAAAAGGAATGCAAATGCGGAAAAATAACTGGTGGACTCAGGTGAAGAGTATTAGGATGTTCTTTGTATTCTTCTTTCAATTATCCTGTTGATTTGAAGTTTTTCATATTAAAAAGTTGGGGAAAAAATTTGGTTTCTAAATGCTAATGTCATACCACCTAGCCCAGAACCACACTGCCTACCATGGGGACACTTAAACACTTGTTGAGTCTTAATTCCTAAAAGGGGCTCAAAGTGGGACTCTGTTTCATATTTTAAACTGAGGCTATGTCTTCTCTTCTCATAAGACTCCAAATACATCTGCCAATTATACTATTTTTAGAGTCTATTTTATATTTATAGAGTATTTGGCTAGAAGGATGATAAAAATGAAAATTGTAAATCAAAAAGAGTAAAAGTTGAACTTTCATTTCTTTGCTTGGGTAGCCTCAGCAGTAACTACATTTATCAGAGCTCAACTTCACCTTGATTTGTCTAAAGTCTTCTGTTCCTCAGTCTTCTGCTCAGCATCCTTCTCAGCTCGCCTGGAAACTCCTGCATTCTGTTTGCTCCAGATACTTGGTTTCTGCAGAATAATTTAAAAAGACAAAACCGAACCACAAAATGATTGCAAAAAATCTCTGCTTGTACATCAAAAGAAAAAAAAAGTGAGAGAGAGATCATTAGATCTTATGAATCCATGGAGATAACTACATCTTCTGACAGCTGACCTATGTCCTGCAAATAGACTGCACATGGCAAAGCCAGAGCTGAAAAAAAGCCCAAAATCATATAAAGAATTTCTTTACACAATTGCATAGGGTTCCTTCCCAACTTTTATCTCCTGAATGATTAAACCTAATTCAAGACTCTAATGAAAATGTATATATCACAGAGAATTCATAATACAAATAATAGATACTATTACCTACAAAACTGGAAAACCATTCACAAGCCTTAAAGACCCTGATATTTTCTGCTATATTTCTATATTATCTATTGCTTATCTCTGGATTTATAATACCTACCTAACTAGATAATCTTTCATGGGAATGCAAACAAACCACTTATTAATAGCATGTACTTTTCCAAAAGAAGTGCTAAAGATTTAGAGCCTTATCATGTGCTTTTAAATAATCTTACCAATTTCTATTTTAATATTTAAAGCACTTCATGCAGATGTTCAAATATAGGACAGAGATTTTTCCTTAACATTTATCTGTAGCAGACACCATGGTCACTTTCAAAAAACCTAAGTATGGTATATAATTCCTCCATGTTTGGAACCAATGGAGATAATTAGATCTTACTTTTACCTTATTAGTTGTTTTTGGTTTTCCCAAAACTCCAGAATCTTTTAGAAGTTTTTCTTGTTTGAATTCTTCTTGTTTTCGGAAGAGTTCGGCCTTAAGGTCTACCAACTAGAATAAAACCGATAAACAAACAAAACATTTATTTGATTCTAATGACTGACTGGATTTCTAAGTTACTGTAATTCTCAAAGCAAGATTTCAAGTTCCTACAAATGGACATAAATGGATACAAAACTCAATGTTTAAGCGCAGAATCCAGTACAAAATAAAACCAAGTCATATTTCATCCCAGGTCTGTTGGAAATGTATTTCTACTCCAACTTTCAACACTCAGAGGCTTTCCTGGGCAAGGGGAGAGTGATGAAGTGAAGTAAATGAAGCCTGCATCTTTTAGATTCAGATCCAGCTAACATTATTAAACACCTTCTCTCTGACTCGCACTGTACTTGGCTTTTTCATATGGTATAATCTCATTTAATCCTCACAAGAATTTATTATTTCTACAGGGAAATGTCTCTGTTTAGCAGCTATCTGAGTACCCAGTATGTGCCTGGCACTTAACACTGAAGAGCAGGATACAAACATGAATCAGATCTACTCCTGCCTCAAGAAGAGCCTACAATCTGATAAGAAAGGTAACTTACAACACCAGTGAGATGTAATAAATGACTTCAAGAGTGGAAGAAAGTAGCACAAAAGTTCAGATAAGGGAGCATTTCCTTCCGTCCAGAGTGATCAGAAGCAGCTTTGAGCTCAAGCTTAAAAGACAGGCCGATTTCCACAGCCAGAAATAAAATGGACTGAGTGAATGATAAGGGCAGCTCCAGGTTTGTTTCTGTATGTTTCAGAAACTATAAGTTTAGCTAAATCACGGGGTTCAAGAACAGGAAAGGCCAGGGCAAAGGGAACAGGGCAGTCGAGTGAAAACTTGTGCCCAGCCCTCAGCTGCATCAGTCACCACTGTCGACTCTGCAAAAAGAGGATGTAATGACAGTTTCCTTTTTAAGGATCCAAGTACAGCTGCTTATACACATGACCATTTGTAAATCATTTCCTTATAGAGCCCAGCATCACGGACTGACTTTTAAGGAAACCAAAATGACTGAGTTAAATGATTTCTATTTTGAAAGAAATCAATTTAAAGTAGTAGCCTTGGCAGGGATTTTAATAATGCCGTTCATCCCAGGATCCAATATTCTAAAATTTTAAAGACAAATTAAAAACTTTCACCTTTTGAGCTTTCTTTACCACATCAATTTTCTAGCCACACATTTTCCTATTCTACGACTACTTTTGAATTTTAAAAGAAAGATGCTCAGAAAATTGTCAATTCCCAGAAGGCATTTCTATTACGATTATTGCTAATTTTAGTCTGTTGGGATAGGATAACTTCAACATTGATAGCTTCTTCGTTCTTAATCCTCGAGCATAACAACTAGTACCAATTTTCAGTATCAGAGAGAAAAGAGGCTCAGATATCGGGACACACAGATGTTTTCCTTGGCATCCTAACACTCTGCAGTAAATTCAAGATTAAATCCAAGGTTAGGCAACGTGCCCTGGTGTAATGGAAAAGGCAACAGCTTTGGAGTAAACCAGAGGGACCGAGCCACTTCTATCACTAAGAATTCTGTAAGTAGGTTGGGACAGCCACCTCCCCTTCCTGAGCCTCAGTGTCATCGTCTGTGAAACGAGGGTATCACTAGCACCCACCTCCTAAAGCAGCGGGGGGGGGGATTCCACGCGACAGCGCGTGTAAAGTGCTGGCACAAGTAGGTGCTCAGAACAGGCTTTCTCCCCAGAAGCAGCTACCTTAACACAGCCCCCTGCGCCCTGCTGGACCTTCAGCTCCCGGGCGGGGCACCCTACGGGAGCATTAACAACTTTTAGCTCCCGGGGGGCCGCTGGGCACCCTCCGGTCCTGGGGAATGTCACGCTCCCGTGCTCTGGGAAGACCCTGCTGGCCCCCGGGCCGGAGGAGGACCCAGGAAGGGGAAGGCGCGCACAGCAGGGCTGGCAAGGGCGCCCGGCCCGGCCGTCGATGGGCGGCAGACCCTAACCGGGAAGACGCCGGGTTCAGCCCCTGTCTGAGCGGGAAGCCCGGTCTGAGCCCGCGTCCGAGGGGAGAGGCCCAGTTCAGGGCCTGTAAGGAAGGAAGTCGGCCCGGGGCCCCGTCGGAGGAGAAAAGCCAGGTCCGGGCTCCTGTTCGAGGGAGGCCCGGCCTGGGTCCCCAGGTGAAGAGACAAGCCAGGTCGAGCTCTTGTGTGGTGCAGGCGGGGAGACCGCGGGGCCCGGAGCATCATCTACACCCGCACTCACCGAGGAGGCCGTGACGTCCAGGGGCTTTTTCCTCCGGTCCATGCTCGCGCCAGAGCGGCCCGGCCCAAAGCCAATCTTCCGCGGACCCCCCAGGCCTCCTGCGCCTGCCTGCGGCGCAACCGGAAGTGTCCCTTACGACAGCGGCGCTGGGGCGGAGCGCTGGCGCCATCTTGAGAAGGTCACGATGCGGCGCGTACTGCGTCCACCACCATTTTGAGAAGGTCATAGACGCCCAGGGTTGAACCTACCTGCCCAGGCCCTCTGGAAAGGGCGAAAGAGGAAAATGGCGGGTGGCGGCGCCATATTGAGAAGGTCGGAATATGACTTGCAGAGCAGTGGACGCCATCTTGAGTGGGGCAGATGGTGTGGGCAATGGCGCCGTCTTGGGGAGGGCGAAACCACCTCAAAGTCTTCATTTGAAAGGAAACGTGGATTAGTAGGACTGGAAAGATCCAAATACCGTTAGAGGACCTGCTGTGTGGCAGGCGCTGTCTGGTACTTCTCACACGTTGATTTATTTAATTCTCATAAGTCATATGAGATAAGGATTATTATATTAATTTCTACTGAAATAGAATATGTAAATATATATAAAAATATATATTTCTACCGAATATATAAATAATAAATAAATAAGTTTAAATAAATAAATAATAATAATAGCTAACGTTAATAGAGTACTTACTAGGTGCCAGTTTACATATTTCAGCTCATGGGGACATGAATTCCAGAAGCCAACTTCCTCGGTTGGAATTGCTCCTTCACCACTTATTGGCTATGTGACCTCGGGAAAGTTTCTTAACTTCTCTGTGCCTCGGATTCCCAAATGGGAATAAAATAGTATTTACTTCACGGGGTTTAATGAGGGTTAAATAAGTTAAATGAGCTAGTTTGATAAAAATATTAATAATTGTGATAGACACACAATGACCTCTCTCCCTTCTAACAACGTTAGAAGATGTCCATCTTCTAAGCCCCATAGTTTGTGAGCATGTTACCTTATATGGCAAAAGGGAATTTGCAGTGTGATTAGATTAAAGATCTTGAGATGAGATTATCTGAGTGGGCCCAATGTGATCACAAGGGTCATTATAAGAGGGAGGCAGAAGGTTCAGAATCAAGGAGAGAGATCAGAAGATGCTACACTGTGGGCTTTGAAGAGGGAGGATGGGACCCCATGCCAAGGAATGCAGGCAGCGTCTAGAAGCTGGAAAAGCCAGATTAATCCTCCTCTAGAGCCTTCAGAAAGAATGTAGCACTGCTGACACCCAAACTTTTAGCCTTGTAAGGCTCATTTCAGACCTTCCACCTTCAGAACTATAAGGGAATAAATTTGTGTTGGTAACCACTAAGTCTGTGGTAATGTGTTACAGCAGCAATAGGAAACTGATACAAAATATAATGACTGTAGCAATAGCATTACTACATGTCAGGCGTGTGTGTAACTCTTCGTGGATTATCTTGTTTAATCTTTGCAGTGATCTCAGAGGTGGGAGCTATTATCTCCATTTTACAGAGGAGGAAAATGAGGCCCGAGAGGTTAAGTGACATGCCAAAGGGCATTTGCCAGCTAGCGAGTGATAGAGCCTAGAGTCCAAGAATAGCTCAGACATTGAGTTAATTATTTGCACACTGTTTACTTGTAAAGAGGGAACCCGTACAGATGGACTTCATCTGAAGAAGCCTAGAAGAGGATTTGTATAAAAGACACAGGGAAGAGGGGAGAAAGAAAAGCCATAAACAGGTTGGAAACCATGAACTTTGGTTTCCTGCCCCAGCTAGCCACTGGCAGTGAGACCAGTGTCCTGATATTGGGCAGCTGGAAAGAAAGTGATTTTAGTTGTTTATGGACCCTGCAGAAGACTGTGAGCGTTTAGCTTTCTCTGTTTAATGCCCACAAGTGTCCTTGTTGTCATCTCCATGTTCGTTAGGCAGGTTGGTATTATCACCCTTATCGGAAGATGGCACTAGAGCAGGCCAGCCCGGTGGCATAGTGGTTAAGTTCGTGCACTCTGCTTCGGTGGCCTGGGGTTTGCGGGTTCAGATCCCAATCCTGATCCTGGGCACAGACCTACACACCACACCGATCATCAACCATGTTGTGGCGGCGTCCCACATACAAAAAATAGAGGAAGATTGGCACAGACATTAGCTCAGCAACAATCTTCCTCACCAGAAAAAGGAATAAATTGTTTTAAAAAAAAAAATCACACCAGAGTAACATCCAGCTGATTTTAATTACCTTCCAAGCTATTTAAATTGCTAAGAAAAAGCGAAAAAGTCTCCCTTACTGTCCTCAGCCCCTGAACACTTCAAGGTCTGGAGACGCACAGAAAGCTTAATCTTGGATTGACCGGAATGCCCTCCTGACACACCAGCAACTCTTCACATGTCCTGTGTCCTCAAATTCTCCTCTTCCATTGATGCTTCCAAATGTCTGGGTCTCCTTTCTCTACCAAGCTCAAGAATTGAGGCCACAGCCCTTACTTTAAGCCATTATGTTCTTTATAAGGCCACATTCTCCTCCTAAGGTGTCATCCTCTAAACTAGACCTCAGGTCAGTGTCTCACACGTGGACTTGGGTTTGTTCTGGAAGAAAGAGGATGGCAGGATACCCTAGTCTGGTGAAAGAACACAGAGTGCGATGCCTCGGGAAGCAGGAAGGGGACACGGGGTGCTCGCAGAATGGAAACAGACTGTAAGCCCATATAGCTGAGTGGTGTGTCAGGATTTGAAGAAGATGCAAAGCTTAACGGTTTTGATAGAACTGATATAAAAGACATGAGGCTAGAATCTGAGGCAGTTGTAAACAATTTTCTCTTTGCTGTTAACAACATGTTTGTCTCAAAAAACCTGCGCTGTGCAGGTGATGTGGTCTATAGCAATGTGGAGACAAGAGAAAGGAACAGATATTGCCTGGAGCTCACTGAAGCAGGGCTTAGGGTGGTAGGTTATGCTTTTGACCAGGTGGATGATCATTTACAGACTCCTTACCATGAAACACTCTACTCCTTGTTGGATACACTCAGCCCTGCCTACTGGGAAGCATTTGGAAACACTCTTTCCAAGACTGGAAGCTTTGAAAAGGGATGGACAGTCATGACACAGCCATTTCCTTTTAGAGGGAGCTGCTGCTGGTCCAAAACCTTGACATAAAGCTTGAAATTCTTGCATATGGTCGTAGAAGAAAATGCATCTTTGGTTTTGTGTCTTTATCATTTCTTGCTTTAAATTTAGGCTTTTGACTCAGAATATTATTCACTAATGAATTGTCTTTTTTAGTTTCTGATTCATTAAGGGAATCGTGAGGCCATTGCTGTGACACCATCATTAAGACAATCAGATTTCTTCATATAGTATCTCTGCATTTGGAAACCTTATCAGTGTTTCATTCTGTTATTAGAGGACTTAAATGCTGCCAGCACTCTCTTTTACATAGGAAATTCTAGGTTTGCACAGTAATATAGGAATTAAAATGACCTAACGTCAAACTTTCATTAGCTTGCGAAATCAGGGGTTTACTGCTAGCTTGCACTGACTTTGTAGTAATTATTTTGCTACTATCCTTATTGGAAACAAATTATAAACTAGTTTCCCCTGCACAAAATTTGAAATTCAGTGCTTCACTTACTCTATATCACTAATATGGACTAATAAAGATGAATTAATTATATATTACTTAGCTAGTATTAAACAAAAAACGCATACTGAAATAGTTCTGTATTCCTTGTTTGCAACAGCCACCCAACTAAGAGGACAAACCTTTAGCAAATGAATGTGATAATTACTTGTTTCCAAGCTATTTAAGCACATAAGCAAATACAGGAAGAGGCTCCATTCTTTTTCTTAACAAAAAGCTTCTTCAATGTGTGTGATTTAAAAGAAAGAAGATTTTGATTTCCGAGAAAACAATATTTTGGCCTGTGTTGATTCTTATTATAAACATTTGTTTACACAATGCACAGTACATATTCAGAAAGTGTTTTTGCTTCAGCGTTTACTTTCTGTAATGTAGTGCTTTGGTATTCCCACAGCACCCCTCCTTCCCCAACAGATGTAGTGTTCTGTCTCATCACTAAATCTATGATTTATATAATGCGAGTGCATTGTATGCGTTTGAAACCAAAGGATGAGTGAAGCATTCAGAGACTTAATATTTGAAAAAAAGAGACTCTGTATTTTATATTCTATTACAGGTACTAATATTTATAAAAATAAACTATACTGTGCTGCTACGTTTTCAAGTACACGTTGAATAATAAAGATTGGGGAGTTGTTTGTTTAAAAGTAGTCTAAAGCAGCAGCTGTAGAAATGTTGAGCTAAAATTCTGCATCTGGTCAGACCTTTATAATTTGTCATTTGCAGACTTTTTTTAATCATTATTAAAAAATAGGTACTTGTAGACTCTGAAGATCATATGGACCAGAGCAAATTAAAGTTCAGTTTGGGTTACTATTCATTGTCAAACTTCACTGGAATGCTTTAATTATGTTTGATAAATGCATGTTCATTCTCAGCTTTATTTTCAGATGCTTAACTGTTTGGGCAATGAAGTCTAACTTCAAGTTGAACTTTCTCATGCTTAATCTCAAGCTAAATGTAAAGGATATTTGTAAAGTTGAAACAAAATTCTGTTTACTCGCTTTGAGTTAAGTATGAAGAAAAGTGACTGTATGTTTAAAAATTGAAATTGTTTGTTTTGTGATAAATGATTGATTCCAAGAACTCCTGTTTCCTTTTTTTTTTTTTTTTGGTGAGGAAGATTAGCCCTGAGCTAACATCTGTTGCCAATCCTCCTCTTTTTGCTGAGGAAGATTGGCCCTGGGCTAACATCTGTGCCGATCTTCCTCTACTTTATATGGGACGCTGCCACAGCATGGCTTGACAAGCGGTGCATCAGTCCGCGCCCGTGATCCGGACCTGTGAACCCTGGGCTGCTGCAACAGAGCATGCAAACTTAACTGCTACACCACCGGGCCTGCCCTTCCATTTCTGAATTCTCTATTGTTACATTTTGATGTGAAATGATATGGTCCTCTTATTACAATGTAAGAGGAACAAGAGAGAGAAAACATTAACAAAACTACACAGATATTAAAACCTCCACTAGATAATAAAACCTTTATTTTATCTAGGTTGTTTAAAGAATTTAACCAAATAAATTAAGCCTTAATTTCACTTCCAAAAGAAAAAAAGAAACTCTAAATAAATAATTCTTACAAATCAATAAGAAAAAAATGAGAAGAATGGGTAAATAATATGATCAAGCAATTCAGAAAAATATACAAATGACCAGTAACCACTTGAAAGATATTCAACCTGACCAGTGATTCAAGAAAGAAAAATGAGTTTAGCTATGTTGGGCCATTTCACCTAGTAATCTAATAATTTCTTTTTATTTATTTATTTATGTATTTTTGGAGGAAGATCAGCCCTGAGCTAACATCCGTGCTAATCCTCCTCTTTTTGCTGAGGAAGACCGGCTCTGAGCTAACATCTATCACCAATCTTCCTCCTTTTTTTTCCCCCAAAGCCCCAGTAGATAGTTGTATGTCATAGTTGCACATCCTTCTAGTTGCTGTATGTGGGATGCGGCCTCAGCATGGCCGGAGAAGTGGTGCGTCGGTGCACACCCGGGATCCGAACCCAGGCCACCAGCAGCGGAGCGCGTGCACCCAACCACTAAGCCACGGGGCGGGCCCCCTCTTATTTAAATATAACAATATCAACAAAGATTTAGTAAGGGGCACTCTTACATTCTGTTGGAGGATATATTGGTGAAACCTTTCTGGAAAACCTTGGTGATAGAGCTTTTACAAAGCTTATAACTTCTGTACTGTAATATCCTAGCAGTCTAGCACAGGGAAATGATTCAGCAGAAGATATACGACAAGGATGTTCATTTTCTCTAGTGGAAAATTGGAAAGGCTCTAAAAAGTGGTTAAATTATGACATCCTTTTGATGGAAAAATATGCAGCCATTAAAATTGTGAAAAAAAATGACAGTGCGGAAAAATTATACTACATGAAAAAAAGGATATAAAACTATGATTTATTTTGAAAAGTAATCCTTATATGCAACAGAAGGAAAAATGAAATAAAACATTCTACAATGTTAATAGTAGTCATCACTAGCTGGTGAGATAGGTAATTTTCATTTTCTTTATGCTTTTTCACATTTTCTGCATTAGCTTGTATGTACTAATTGGAGGGGAAATGCAATAGATATGGGGTTCAGGTAGTTGATGAACGTTTCTTTCTAGCAAAAGCACCAAGTCGTGCTGAGTTGTGTCTGCTCCCAGGATCCTTGAGGAGGATGAAGAAAAAAGAGTGCACACCTCATTTCCCATAATGACACTCTTCCCACCTTTCCTCCAGGTCCAAAATCAATTGTTAGACTTCCCACACAGCTAATCAGCAGCAGCTGATGGTGTACTGATCATTAGCTTCTTCCATCACAACCCTGCACCATTCTCTCTCCAGTGTTCAAACTGCACCATTCTCTCTCCAGTGTTCAAAAACACAAAACGTGCTGTTTGATTGCTAAGGGGGAACAGAGTAGGAAAACACTGAGATTCTGCTATGTGCCATGTTGAGAACTCTGCCTTTGACCCCTTTATTTTGTGGATGACACAGCTGAGATTTGGACAGATTGAGGGACTTGCTCAGCAGCCCACCTGTGAGCAGTCGAGTTAGGCAGAACCCAGGTCTTCTGACTCCCCCAACTATCCCCATACAGTACACGTTAATAAAAGCATCACCCGAAATTCGTGGTTATATGAAAGCTGATTTTGAAAGAGGAAAAGAATAACAGTAAAAGAAAGGTTACTTGGTATAATGGAATTAATCAATAGAATCTCCTTTCCTAACCTACCAATATGATCAGATATAAAATTCCATGGAAGCCATCTACTTCTAACTATGGCGCTAGTTTATCTACTTGTTATCAATAGTGTAAACAACAAAAATGAAACAGAGGTGAGTTATATTTTATAATAGCATGACCAGTTGAATAAATTTCCAAGTACTTACCTGCTTAACTGCATATCAATAGGGACAAACTAAAAATCTGGAAATGAGTTATCTAGTGAATTCCAGAATATTTGATCTTACAAGTCATTTGAAAGAATGCTGAAGAATATTTCTTCCATCGAGTTTTGCACTGGTCTTGCATGAGTATTTTTACATTTAAATCGATACACTTTCTTGTTAATAATCTTAAAAAAAGAATGTTGCTATGAGCAAGCTGTTTCCAAATTGTTTGCAAAATTTCAAAGTGTTAATTATTTTATCAAAAAAAAGAAATTTTAATGAGACATATGGATAAAAAAGAAAAGGGGGTGGAGACCAAAAAAACTGAATGAATGAAAAGGCTCCCCATTTGTAGAAGTGTGCCTTAGCCTTGCAGGAAAAAAGAAAATTTCACCTTTGAGGACCACTTCCTAAAATGTTTTCATATATGTCTTATTTAACCCTAACAGCCCTGTTAGGCTGGTGATTTCACTCCTGTTTTACAGCCAATTGAACTGTTTGGAGAAGGTTCCAAGATTGGTCCCAGTCTCCTACAAATGGCTGCAGAGCTGGAAGTCAGTGAAGCTGCATCTCCCGAGTGCCCAGAGCCTCCAGGCTGTCTGGAGCTCCCGCGCCACCTCCATTTTTTGAGGCAATTAGTATTTTAAAAAATGCCAAAAAATTGTTGCATGTGTTAAATACTTACATAATATTTAAAGCACAAAAGTATTTCAATAGAATCAGGCTATTCCAAGAAAATAGCAAGATGTATTCCCACTCCACCACGAACTTTGCGGTCCTGTGATAACACCAGTTAATTATCTTTTGTCAGTTTATCTCAGCAACTGCATGTATAATCTTATTTGGAAAGGTCAAAAGTCTAAATTCCATCCCCCGGTGAATGTGGGCGAATGCCCGGCCGCACGGCCTCTGGCCGCCCCCCAGCCCACCCCACCCCCAGAGGTCTTTCTGGAACTGCTTTGAAAGGACCCCTAAGCCAGTTGAGCCCCGTGGACCAAGCAGCAACTGGTTGCACAGTGGGGACCACACACGCTGTCTTTGGGTTGTCCCGGACCCAAAACTCCATGGCAACAGCCCTTCTTTGCAGTAGTCGATTATGTCACGTCCTCCTGGTCAGACCATCCCACAGGGGACCGTTAATTAACTCCAGCATTTCAGGAGAGGCGGGCTGTGGGCTTTGCTTTTTACCAGAGTCGTCAGTAGTTTTAGTCCTCGCTGTCAAGGGGACACTGGGACGTGTTTCCAGAGTTTCTGAAGGAAAGAGGTGAAAGGGAGCAGGATCACGCGGCCCCTCGTGGCGAGGCCCTGGGATGCTCCGAGAGAGGACGCGCTGTGCCAAGGGCACGCGGTACCGC